TTCTCACAGAAGCCCAAACTCATGTCCCAAACTCTCACTTCTGCCTTGATGAGGCCTGGCCCAGCAGAGACAGCAGAATGAGAGGGCTCTAACACAACAGAAACTAAGAGGAGCTGATATCTAATAGCATCTGGGTTACACCAGTCATGCAGGACATGTGAGACCCAGAGGTCCAATCTCTTCCAGTGTAGACATGAAAAAAACTCTCTCATGATCACATCCTAAAACCAAAACTTTCAGATCTTTCTGGTGAGTCTGTCTGAATGGCTCCTGATGAAAATACTGCATGATTGTGAGACATCTGAATATTCATTAGAGAGGACCTCAGAGCACTTTCATCCCCTTCTTGCATCTGATCTAAGAGATGTTGTCATTCTTTTCTTTCAGACAGATTGAATGGGTATTTAATGAGCCCATGCAAAGCTGAACAGCTTCAGTGGGACAGAGAAAGCAAGACTTGCTCAAAAAGAGCTTACAGTCTGGTGGCTTCCAGTACCCTCCTGGGAGATATCAGTTCAAATTCCTTCAGTGAGATAAGAGACTTCAGCCTTGGTCTTTCATACCCCAAGGAAGCAATCTTAAATATTAATGCTTTTTATTAACTGATGTGGCACCATTTCCTCTTGTGTGTGAGAAAATCCAGCCTCATTAAAGCACTTAACCTTGGAAGAGTATTAGGGTGACACAAGTGACACAAGAAGCACCATATTGCAACAGCTGTCAGGACACTAACTCTCTGTCCCATTCCCTACCATCTAGTGCTGGCTTGCCAGGTTGGATGAATCTCATTTTAGGTGGCATTCCCGGCTTTACAGGACCTTGGTGCCTGACACGGGGATGCAGCTTCCACTGGAGGACAGAGGTCACAAAAGAAACGTCACTATTCTGAATCCAAATATCCTTGGAGGACTTAGCCATGACTGTCATGGAAGGACACCATGCATCAAGTGACTCCCAGGTCATACACTTCCCTCAGTTAAGGATATGAATGATTTCTACAGAACTCCATGGAACAACTTCCATGGACTTCACTAGGAAGTGGTTTGTTTTTCCAGTGCCCCTAATTCCACCATGGTGTTTAAGCACTCTGGTTCACTAGATCTATGATGTAGAGTGCTTACATGCCAAATGGAGCATAGTTTATCTCAGTTCTCATAAAACTCTACTGCAAAAAAGAAATGGAAGCTATTAAGTAATTCAAGGGTGTCATAGCCATCAGCTGGCTGAATACCTGTGAAACAGAATGTGCTTACAGAATATTACACTAAACCTTGTCTTACTCAGAAACACTGCTAAGAAAAAAAAAAACAAACCACATAGCAAGACTTCTTTTTCTCATTCTGGATATCTTTTAATAACAATAACAGTATGACCACAGCACTTCATATCCAAGCAAGGATGAATTGTGATTTCAAATCAATATCACCTTTTCATCCAGAGATTTCTGGGTGTAAAATATGTGTAAGGTTGCAGTTGGAGCAACAAAATGATATACTGTTGGGACAAAAAAGTAACAGTTACATCTAATTCTCAAAATTAGCTTTAAGTTTAAGGCAACCACAACTAGCACTACAAAGGCCCTGTATGATAGCAGCTACATAGATTAATAGAAGTCACTTGCTCTATAGATGTCCCACAGTCTCCAAGCCAAGAGGTGCAGTGCCCTCTGTATGCATAATAGACTATATGGCCAAGCAGCTTTGGTTTTCCAGAGAGCCCTCCAGCATGGCAGGTATTTTTGCCTTAAAAGGGGCTATCAAAGTTTCAGGCATATCAGATACCATACAAGCCATCTTAAGACCCACCAGAACAGTATTTTTACATCAGGAACCCGTAGATGTGTTGCTGAATTCAACAATAGATTGAGAGCATATGGATGTGAAATTCAGCTGTGAAAATGTTGGAGGGCTCTTGTAGAGCTGAGCGAGACAGATCTCACACAGATTGAACCCTGCTTCCTTGCAGTCTTTGAAGGGACTCAGATAAGGGAGCTGCTGGAATGAACCCACTCCAGAAGCAAAGCTGTTTTTTGTCTGGGGTGGAGCTTTCTCTCCAAGAGAATTTACAAAGAAGAAATACTTCTGCAATCTGCACAAGAAAACGACTGGAACCTGGGAGTGACCCCAGGGAGGAATCATAGCTAACAGTGCGGGCTTTCCTGTTGACTTCAGTGTATGTGCAAGCACAGCTGCTTTTAGGCTTAGAGATTAAGCATGAAGAATTTTAACTATCATAATTTTAGGCACTATCAAAGTGATATATACACACTCTAGATTCTTTGTGGATTTTCCACCCAATTCCTTACCGATGTGTGCAGTAAGCCATTATGGATATGGTTTACAATACAAAAATACTCACCAAAGGTTTCTTAGCCTAGAAAGCAGCAGATTGAACAGACAAGATGGATTCCATGGAGCAGTCATGGCAAGGAAGCTCAAAGAGATCAGAGATTAAAGCAGCAGACAAGGTGCAGAAAATTAAGCACTGAGGTGAAATGAAGCAGAGAAGAAAAAGAAAACATGATAGAGAGCTGCAAATCTTTGTGGATGTGCACGAACACACAAGTGACTGCCTGGGCCATGCTGAGTTTCCACTCATGCACAGACACATCTTTCCACACACTGCAGAAGATTCAGAAAGAAACTTGGCCTTGAACACAGGGCTGCAAAACATTTTTGCGAAGAAGTATAACTGGTCCAGAGATAGGAAGATACAGTGCTGAAACAAAGCTTTCAATGGAAATGGGAATCACTTCTATGTTCAGTTTAGCTCCTCGTTTTAGGATACTCTCACACATGCCCATCTTCAATTAGCAAAGCAATTTCACAATGCCCTGACTATGAAGCAGGGCCCTCTTTTGTCCAACAGCAGCTATAGAGGAGAGGAACTGCAGGGAGAAACATGCAGTGCCCAGAAATCACATCTACATTCAATACATTTTGGATATTTGCTCAACTAGCCTTGATCCAACCCTGCCACACAGGGTACACAGGGTCCCTCGTTTGGTGGGATGTGAAAGAAACGTGCACTGTTTGAAAACACGCTGGGATGCAAACCAAAGTGCATGTGTGTCAGGGCTGGGTGTTTGGGAGGTTCATTTCAAAAATGCTCCCATGGACATAACCACCAGCTGAATCCAAAACATAAAGGTCCTGATCTGGCTGTCTGTCACTGCTGCAATTGCTTGTAATGCCCCACCATCCCAAGCAGTGCTCATCTCCCCAGTCCCAGATGGAGCAATTCTTCTCACCTCAAAGGGCAGGTCTGAAACCACAGAGATTTAGAATCTGATGGAAATCGTATTCTTTGAGCCTGTGGGCAGTGCCCAGGGCCCTGGTAACAAAACAATTGTTCCTTCATTTGCCGCTATTTAGTGGATACTCAGAACAGCAGTTGCAGTTGGGCTTATAAATTACAAGCCAACAGACAAAGGGAATAAATGAGACAAAATTAAAGACATTACTCCTACATCCCATAAATTATCTCTGTAGTCTATTTTAACAGCGTGAATTTACCAGTGTCTGTTAAAACAGTATGAAAAGTAAACCCACCTAGCACACTAACTAGGCATTAATGAAAAAGCAAAATATTGTTTTGTGTTCTCCAAAACACAGAAAGCAAAATATTCCCACCAGATCTCATAATGCCTTTCCAGGGGAGAAAGAATCATAATCTTTTATATTGAAAAAGAGACTGAGCTCTTGGAGTCGGAAAGAAAATGAATTAATAAACCTAATTACACACTCCGCGCATGGAGGAATCGAAGGCGTTAAGCCAGCCCAGGAGAACGGGGCGCTTTGATTGTGCTCACTTAACAACTTCCCTGTCACCGTGCGCGGCCCCAGGGAGGCCGCTCCTGGCGCTGTCCCCGGGGCAGCTCCGCGCCTCTGCGCGGGCACCGCGGCGCTCGCACGGCCGCGCACCGGCAGCTCCGCTTCGCCTCTCGGCGCCGTCCCGGGCAAACTCCGGCTGCGGAGCCTCCCCCCGCACCCACCGGCGGGCTGGGCTGCTGTGGCACCGCTCCCTTAAAGGCGCCGCGCCCGGGCGAGTTGGGGCTGAGCGCGCTGCACGCCCGCTGCCCGCGCAGAGCTGCGCAGCGGCGGCGCCGGCAGCCCGCGCCCAACCTCCGCCTGCCACCAGCCTCGGCGGGGAGCAGAGCGCTTGGCATGTAGGAGCGGAGAGAGGGAAAAGGTGCGGGGCGGAGGGAGGTGAGGGGGAGGAAGCCGGGAGGGTGGGGGGGGTGGGGTGGGAAGGAAGGGAAAAAAAAAAAAAGAAAAGAAAAAAAAAAAAGAGCTGCCTCTTTAAATGCTGGGGGCTGAGCGCTTGCCGGGGCGTCCGTGGCGGATCCAGCCTCCCTCCCTCCCCTCGGCCGTGCCTCTCCCGGCGCTCATGCCCAGCCGCGGAGCCGGCGGCGCGGCGCTCGGGCGCTGCCGCTGCGCGGGGAGCAGCAGCCGCGCCGGGCCGGGGCCATGATCCGGGAGCGCCGCCGCCCCGCCGCCCGCTCGCCCTGAGCCGCTCCCGGCGCCGCCGCCGGCCCCGCGGGGTAAGTTCGCGGCCGCCCGGTGCCGGGGGAGGGCGGGGAAGGCGCACCTGGCCGGCGGCCCGGCGCGGCTCACCTGGGCGGCGGGGGGGTGCGCTCTCTGCCGTCCCCAGCTCGGAGCTCCCCACCTCCCCAGGCGCTCGCAGCCCCTCTCTAACAGGTGGCTCGGTGCCTGCCCCGCTCCTCGGCGGCTCCTGCGCCTCTTTCCTTCTCCTCGCCGCCGCCTAACAGGTGGTGGTGCCGCCGCGCCTTCCTCCATACAGGTAGGGAAGTCTCGTGTCCCCCTTCCCCCCGTCCCCGACGGGCTCTCGCAGCCCCAGGGCGCTGCTGGAGCCTGCGCTGAGCGGGGAGAGCCGGGACGCCTGCGGAGGGGGGAGCCGCGCTTGTGCCCGCGCTGCTTCTCCGGGAGCCGCTCACCCCTCATTCATGGCCCCGCCGTGTGTCTGTCGTTGCAGCGGGCATGGGGAACCAGGTGGAGAAGCTGACCCATCTCAACTACAAGGAAGTTCCCACGGCCGACCCGACAGGTATGGACAGAGATGAAGGGCCAAGGATCGGGGTCTCCTACATCTTTTCGAATGATGATGATGAGCTGGAGCAGCAGCAGGATTCGGTGCATGACCTGGGCGGTGAGAACCCTGCCCTGCAGCCCTACGATCCCCAGCTGCACGAGGTGGAGTGCTCAGTCTATTACCGGGATGAGTGTATTTACCAGAAGAGCTTTTCAGAGGAGGACACGCAGCTAGAGGGTGATGGAGGAGGTGGGGGGCATCTGAGCACCTACACCCCCGAGAACCTGCTGAATAGGTGTAAGCCAGGTGACCTGGTGGAGTTTGTGTGCCAAGCCCAGTATCCGCACTGGGTGGTCTATGTGGGGGATTTTCAAGTCGTGCACCTCCATCGGCTGGAGGTGGTGAACAGCTTCCTCACCGACGCCAGCCAGGGCAGACGCGGCCGCATTGCCAACCAGCTGTACCGCTACAAACCCCTCAGCCCGGCCGCGGTGGTGCGCAATGCCCTGGAGCAGGTGGGTTGCAAGGATCGGGACTTGAGCTGGAGAAACTCGGAGTGTTTTGCTGCCTGGTGCCGATACGGCAAGCGAGAGTTTAAAATCGGCGGGGAGCTGCGCATAGGCAAGCAGCCCTACCGATTGCAGATCCGGCTGGGGGACAAGCGCAGCCACACGCTGGAGTTTCAGAGCCTGGAGGATCTGATCATGGAGAAGAGGAGAAATGACCAGATTGGTAGAGCTGCTGTGATCCAGGAGCTCTCCAGCCACCTGCAGGCTGCAGAGGAGGAGGAAGAGGAGGATGAAGTCCATCATCATCCAGGTGCTCAGACTGCTGTGGAGTAGCAGCCTCAGCACCACTCATTCTGCTTAGCCTGGGTGATGGGGATTAAAACTGAAGGCTGCGAAATTGAGCTGTTATAAGCCCTTTGGGCTGCTTCGGTGCAGCTTCATTCCAATCACATGTGAAAGGAAGGGGGAAAGCTGCTTAAGTGTCTGTGCTTTAGTGCTTAACTCCTTCAGTGCTTGATGATAAAACCCCTGACTTATTTGTAGAGGATAAAACTCAGGGCAATTCTACCCCTCTCCTCTCTCTTTCCCTTCCTCTCTGCCATATTCGCACATAGCCTTTTCCTCAACCATCTGCCAGTAGGCCTGACCCTACAAGATGCTAAATGCCTTGGACATCTACTTATCAGCAGAAGTTAATAGTATTTAATGCCATTAAGAAGTAGCCAACAACTTCCAGGACATGGCCGTGTAGCTCTGAACATGAGGATTTTGTTTTCCCTTCTCTGCTACTGTTTATCTTCCGCTGTGGCTTCTGTTGGTATCGCAAGGAGCGGCTCCTGCGTGGTTCAAGGCTTTGTGGGTTTGGTAACCAGTTCCCTAGAAAGTGTAAGGCAGAAATCTCCACTGATTTTGATGAAATGGGTTTGATGTTCCTGGTGCCTTCTTAATAGGTAGGAGGTTGCAGGTGGGCTGGGGGACCTTCTCCTTTGCCATCAGCATGTGGCTTTGGGGACAGAAGATGAATTTGTTGCCAGCAGGCCCCAGGGAAGGAAGTTTGCCACCCCAGTTGTACTCTGGTGTGTGTTGGGACTCCTACAGGCAGATGCTGTGTCAGGGCTCATTACAGGCTGCCTTGACTTCTCCTAAAGCAAGTGGCAGAGCTCCTGATCATGTCTGTAATACACACAGAGGCAGTAGAGGCAGGTTGCTTATGTGTAAGAGTATGTCTTGAGTAAGCTGTCCCTCAAGAGGGTGACCTCTTGGCTGGGTGCTTCTGGCTGTGAGCATGCCACAGATTCTGCACCACAGTGAACACAGCTGAGATGGAAGGGAGCACAGGCTGGAAGACTGTATAGGGCTTGAGTGTTCCAAAGCAGTTTCCTCTTCATTAGGGATTTCGTGTTTCTTTTTTTTTGCTAGTTTCTATGGTATGCAGCTGAGCTATAGCATTAGAGGAGAAGATATGCCTCCAAAATTGTGCAGGTCCCTCAGGAAGGGGGAGTGCAGTGCTGCCTGCCCTGAATAGTCCCTGAACTTTTATTCAGCTGTTGAACTGATCTCCCACACAGGCAGCACTGTCAGATCTTTGTCCTGGGATCTGGGGTGTGCGATCAAGCACTGATTTGGAGGCAGTTTCTAATTCAAAATTCCTTCCCCTTAAAACCCAATATGATGATGTGAACTTGAAGATAAGCTTGAGTTCAAGTAATGGAAACTAACAGTGTGATGTAAACTTGAAGCATAATTAATATGGTCTTCCCCGAAGCTGTTTACAGTTATACCACAAATAGCAAAGTACTCCATGTCCTTTCCACCTCTGTGACAGGAGCAAAGTTTGTTGTTTAAGAATAGGTAGACACAAGCTTTTGATTAGTTAAGACTGTATGAAGCAACCTTGCCAATTTGAGCCAAGTGGATTGTGGTCTCATGTTTTCTGCCTAAAATATACAAGCTAGGATTTGGCCTGTGAAACACAAATCCAGGGGAGAGTTTAATACCAAGCTCCCTTAGAATGCTATAGCTCAGGTGCCTACACTAAGTGTGTGTTTTTTCACCAATATGCAATTGAGTTATTCTCAGGTTACTGTGGTTGTCAAGCAGATGTCTAACCTTGTTTGAAAGCATATCTACCCATATCTGGCCTTGTTTGAAAGCATATCTACCCATATCTGATTGTGATAGGGTTAATATGTGGATGCCTGCACCCAGGTTTTATACAACTACTAGTAACTACTGAAAGCTGAAGTGATCACTGAGACAGTCTGAAAAAGAGTGAAGGAGAGTCTCTGTTGTACTTCTGACTGATATGAGACAACAGATTATCTAGACCATGAGCAAATGTCTAGCTGTGGTTTCTTTCATACTGAAACCTTGTACATAACAGAGTTTATTTCACTGTGTAATATAGCTATGTAAAATAATATTTTCCTAGAGATATTTTTGGAAGTTTAAAAAAAAACCCTTCATAACCTTGCATTTGAAAGTAAATTGTTATGCACGTTATTTTCCAGTTCTCTGAATGGGTTTATTTTTCATTCATGATCTAAAGAATATTCTAGGTCATAAAATATTGAAACTGCTATAAATGTCAAATATTATGTATCTACAGGGTACTAAACAGTAAACTAGTTGTGAAAATATTTTTCCTTTGTGTCTGAAACATCAGAACTATGACACTTAGCCATTTCTCTCCTTCTGAGATATCCTGAACAGTTTGCCTTTGTTTTCTGTTCTTTTTTTTTTCTCATTTTTTTCTTTTTTGTTTTGTTTTCTGGGTGGTTTTCTTTTGTTTGTTTTAATTAAAAAAGGACCAAATCTGCTTGGGAATGGAGAGCAAAGCTTCTTTGACCAACTGAAATCTTGTCTTGTGCTGGTCTTGGTGCTTCTCTGTACCAGTCATGCCTTTTGGGATAAATTCCCCCACAGGCACCAGGCCTTAGCAAAGAATTCCAGAGCTTGCAGTGCTTTGATAGGATAGAGAGTGAAGGAGGAGCTTGCTTCACAGCAGAGTTTGGCATGCATTCTGCTGTGTTATAAAACCTCTGTCCTCCTCTGGCATACAGGTGTTTGATATTTGGAATCATAAAGTTTCCCTGCAAGCTATGCTTGGGAATTTATTGTCCCCTGACATTCCATTATGTGTAAAAGTAAAAGAGGGTGGAAAGCTTGGCATTTTTTAAAATTTTGTCTGAAAGAGGGCTACCTCCATACAGGGATTTCTTATTCCAGCAGATAAAGATGCAACTGTTGAATCTTTAACAGGCAGGTCCTTTTCCCCTACTTGTTGATTAGGCAGTGTTATTTAATAGGTGCTACTAAACACCACTGCACACATTTCTAAGCAGTCTGGTTTTAAAGCCATGGAACTGTAATGACCTGGATGTGAGAACAGAAATTGCTGTAGGAGCACATCTCAACTGCTTGGTTTCTTGTCTTTGCTGTTCTTTGCTCAGTTACTGTCTGCAGAGTAAGCTGGGATTTCTGGAGCTTGATTTAAAAAAGAAAAAGATCTCCCAGGAAAACTGACTCTTTTGTGTCTACTTCAGGACTTTTACATGGATCACAAAAGAGAGGGGAAGGGAATAAATAAAGTGCTCTTCTCTGCATCTGCTTTAACATAGAGAAATGCAGGTGTGCTCCTTCTGCAGAGCTTATGCTTCCGCACGGGTCTTAAGTCGAGATTAAGTTTAAAGTTTTGAGTAGACCGTACCTACTTGAGGCCCCTTGAGAATCAGTAAGCCTATTCTTGTGCTTGAAATTAAGTGTATATTTACATTTCTTTATGAATGAGGGTCTGGAATTTCAATATGATGTCTCTGGTGGGGGCGTGGAGCTTCTGAGGTTGCATAATCAACAGGGGAGAATAAGTAGTGCCCTGAAAGCTGTTTCTCAAAGGGCCTCTTGTCCAAACAGAGCTTGTGGAACTCAGCCCAAACTTTGGCCTCAGTTTCCCTCTGGAAATGCAGGAGCTGCATTGATTTGGTGAGAGGTGTGTTACCCAGCAGTTGTAAGCTAAGCTGGTGAACTGCTGCAGATTCCTCCGGTATCTTTGTCTTGTCATGCTTGAGTTTTCCCTTGCATTTTAACATTTAAAGTTAATATAATTTGTTTTAAAAGCCCTTTGATTGGGCAAACATTAATTCTATATGAATTTACTCATTTGGGCATCTCTACTCCTGTGAATATCAATATGCACATGTGAAGGCTGGCAAGGCTGAGCCCCAGATGTGTAAATGCAGCTCCAGCTAGGAAATGTAGATGAGCAGTCTTATTTCCCTGGAGTATTGGTGTGTTTGATGCAAATAATGCCTTGGAAAAGGCGTTGTAGTAAAACCTACAATTATCCGTTGATTGAGTAATTTTAAAAACACAATTTAGACCTTCACCTTCCGTGGCAGTGAACAAAGACATAAATTGAAGACTATTTTGTTATCCCTGATTCTGTGTGAATGCAAGGTATTGATTACAGCAACTCTAGAACTCCTCTGGCCAATGTGGTAGGCAGTTGCCAAGTAGGCAGGGAAAATTCCCAAAAGCTACTTCAAAATCTGTATTTTCTTACTTGGAAAAATACATTCTTCAGACTGAAGGACCCTAGACTATGGAAGTAAACTTTAAATCGTTTTGTATAAATGAAACCGTAGGCAAACTCCTTTTGTTCATTTGATTTCACTATTCCACTCAGTACTATAATAGGTGATATTGTGTGATTAATCTGTTTCAGATTTTGAATGTAATGGTGGTTTTCTTTTTCTCTTTTCCTTTGGTTAAGTTTTGCCAAAGGTCTGTCCTTGGGTATGTGAAGTGTGTTGTCGAGTGGTTTCCCACTTGTGCTTTTTCTGACAATTAACAGCACCAACCATAAAGCTAACAGCCATGTAGGAACAAGTATTTTTTGAAAGCAAAATTTTAATTTTGTATAAGAGATCAGAGACTAGTAAGTAAGTAGAGGTAGGAAATACGTTGTTTCCAACCACAGTTTCTATTTGTAAAATCTACAATTAATTGAGTATGCTTAACTACTCTTAAAAATCAGTGTGCAGTGATAAGGCAAGGAGTATTATATCATGGGCTTAGACTTTCAGATTAGGCTTTTTCTTTAACTGTGAATAGGAAGAAATCAGGGTGATTTTGAACACCAGTGGTTTAGATGGTTTAAATTCCTTTGCATTAATACTGGATTAGAAGCTTTCTTTAAATGCACACTTGAAATTCCTAACATTGTAACACTTCATGAAATCATCCACAGTAAGAAGTATAATCACAAATATGATTTTTTTTTCCACCATGACCATTTTCTGTAAGCTGTCTTTTGTCAGTAAATGTTGAATTGTTAGTGCAAATATCTTCTTTTCCTGAGAAAGAAGTACACATCATTGATTGTACCATTTCCTTCAAAATGAAGGGCATTTCATAGTAACTCAAAAGAAATAAAAGATTTATAGTGTCTTTTACAACTTTTCTTTCTTTTGTTTTTTTGAATAGCATGTGTTTCTCCAGCTTTTGGAAAAAAGTTATAATTTCTCATGAAGGACACATCAGACACAAAACAATATTTTCACTGCCTTCACACATCAGATCAAAATCTAACTCTTTGGTTGTATTCTAAAGAGGAAGAATAAGCTCTATAAAAGGCCAGACCATCAGATGCCTAATAGGTGATAGCTGTATTAAATCCAATGA